CTCAAACATAAATAAACATAAAAAAATTAAAAATAGAACTACCATATGATCTAGTAACTCTAATATTGGGTGTGTACCCAAATAATATGAAAACATTAATTCAAGAAGATAACATGCACCCTTATGTTTATAGCAGCATTATATACAATAACCAAATTGTGTATCCCAATCCAAGTGTCCATCGATGGATGGACTAAAGAAGATGTGATACACACACACACACACACACACACACAGGAATATTACTCTGTCACAAAAAAAGAAGAAAACCTTGCATTTGCAACAACATAGGTGGATCTAAAGAGTGTATTGCTTAGTGAAATAGGTCAGAAAAAGACAAATATGTTTTCACTCCTATGTGGGATTTAAGAAGCAAAATTAATGAACAAAGAAAAAAGAGGCAAACCAAAAAACAGATTCTTAACTATAGAAAACAAAACTAATGGTTACCAGAGGAGAGGTGGGTGGGGAGAAGAGATGAAACAGGGGATGGGGATTAGGAGTTAGGAGTACACTTACCATGATGAGCACTAAGTAATGTACAGAATTGTTGAATCACTATATTGTACACCTGAGGCCAATAACACTGTTTTAACTACACTAGAATTTCAATTTTTAAAAAAATTAACCAAAGAATAATATTATGACCAAATAGGGTTTATTACAAAAAATTTGGTTCAATATTAGATAATCAACAGCATAATTCACTATTATTGATGGGTTAATATATCATCATCTGTGTAGATGAAGAAAATTTTCAACATGTATATTCATAAAATCTCAAAGTAATCCAGTTACACCTTGAAATATATTTATATCTATAGTAGGACTTATATATAATGATGAAATATACAAATCATCCCCTAATTGTCAAAAACAACAAAATGCTCATGATCATTACTGTTAGTTGTACAGAAAATGAACTAAGTATTCATCTTGGAGAAAACAAACTGTCATGAATTGCACATGATTATCTGTCAGGAAAATCCAAGAGAATCACCAAAAAACAATTAGAACTAATATAGGAGTAAAATAAGACAAAAATAAGATAAATAAATAGAAGTGGATACATTTCCAATACAGCAGTAAAACAATTATCCATAAAATGCTGTGAAATGGAGATCCCACTTATTATAGCAATTAAAATGATAACACAGTGTAATAAAATGTTTAATGAAAGTCTCTGAAAGTATATATGTGATCCGAAAATTGAAAGATTTACATAGTATTGAATGGGATAATAGATGAAACTACTAACTTTTCACAACTTAATAAAAATTTCCAGCAACATTTCTTATGGAACTTGAAGTTTCTCAAATTTATGCACAAAAGAAAATGTGGAAAAAGAATACAGAAAATTCTGTACAGGAGTAAAGAGTGGTTTATTGAGCTGATAGTCGGGAGTAACAATTTAGTACATGCAGGAATTAAATAAAAGGTCAAATGGAACAGAATTAATCATCTAGAAACAAACATACACCTAGATGGGAGTTGTATATATGAAGGTGTTATTTCACATAACTGAGTTAAGGATGGACATTTTAACAAGTGAGGTTTAGAAAATAGATCATGAATCTAGAAATTTTTTTAAAAGCTAGACTTTAAAATTTTTTTTAATGTTTATTTATTTTTGAGAGAGAGAGACAGAGAGAGACAGAGAGAGAGAGCGCGAGTGAGCAGGGGCAAAGAGAAAGGAAAACATAGAATTCAAAGCTGGCTCCAGGCTCTGCACTGTCAGCACAGAGCCCAATGCAGGGCTTGAACTCACAAACTGTGAGATCATGGCCTGAGCCGAAGTTGGATGCTAAACCGACTGAGCCACCCAGGTGCCCCTAAAAAGCTAGGTTTCTACCTCACATAAAGTAATTTCCAGGTGACTTCAAGAGCTAAATAAATGCAAGACAACAAAAAACCCAGAAAATATAGAATAACGAACTTTATAATTTAGAGGTGGGAAGACCTCAAACATCTATAGCTGAAAATACTGAAAGTAAACCATGTAAAACAAAACTTCTAGTAGGTAAAAACACCATAGACAAATTGACAAGGTTAGCAAAAGACCAGGGGAAAAAATACATATAAGTAGTTCTTAGGAATTAATTGGAAAAACCAAGTAATTTAATAGGGAAACAGAAACAATTCAAAGAAACACAAATGGCTAAAAAACATGAGTCACCATTCTGTCTCCTTAGTATCAGGAAAGTCAGAGTTAGCACGAGGTATCTTTGCTTCTCATCTTATTGGTAAAGCATGTGTCATGTCCAGATGGGTAAGGATGGAGGTCTATAGTTTTGTATACTGTGTTGGTGGAGCATCTGTTAGCTTACCCTTTATGAGGGGAACTTGACTGTGATCTCATTAAAATGTGAAATGCACATGTTTTATCATGGAAAACAACCCATTCTACAGAGATTTTAGCACAGTGCACACATCGTGAGAAGAGATCCGTTGCAGTAGAGGTCCAAATCACTAGGAGCAACCTAGTGAAAGATGCTTCTGGCTGGGGTCCATAAACCATGTTCACAAATATAGTTTTCAAGGTTTTATTACATCACATCGTTACAGGCATTTCAAAGTACTTGAAACTAGTACTGTGGCCCGACTCAAAGACTACCTTCCAAAGAAAAAGAATAAGGCTTTGACTAGATTGCCTTACATTTTGTGGTTACTATTTTGGGTGGCATGAAGTCCTTTTGCCAAAGGAAGAAGTGGCTGGCTTCTAGAGAGCTTCATCTACTTTTAGCTAAGTGTCCATTTGAAATAACATTAAAATATTTATAATTTTGGCTATGTTTAATTCATTTCTCTCCACATGTTCTAATCCAGCAATTCCATCTCCAAGTATGTCATTTAGAGAAATACCCCACACAAAGTGGAAGAATATTAATTGTAGCACTGTTTTTAGTAGTGAAAAATTGGAAATGACAAATTAGTTAGGAAATGGCTAAATAAACATTTGTCCATATTAATGAATTCCATATAGCAATTAGAAAGACTGATATATATCGGTATACATCTACATATGTATGTAGGTATACTAATATGGAAACTTTTCCAAGGCACACGGCTTAATGAAAAAGGCAAGTTAAACCTGTAGCATACAGTCCCACTTCTATGAAAAACAAACAAAATAAAATCTTAATGGAAATGTGTGTGTAAAAATACCTATTGGACAAGACCAGAAATTACACAACAAACAGTTAACAAAAGTTATTTCTGTAGCAAGGCAGAGACGGGGCCTCTACTTTTTATTGGTTTCTTTTTTCCTTTTTGTCTGCTTTGAGAAGTGTTCTCACAAAGGAAATAGTCATGTATTACTTAGAGCAAAAAAGGGAAGTTTTGAAAAATATTGTTTACATTTACTGATTGTGTAAGTATAGAATGCTTATTAGTAATGCGCAAAGTTCATATATTTTAGATATGGTCTGTGACTGTACGTCAGGAATACATAACTAATTGAAAAGTGTTTACTTAAATGATGCAAATGTAAGTTCCGTGTTTGAATTAAGAAAGAATCGTTGTTTTCATTTGGATGTACAGCGGCACAGTGGCTCAGTCTAAGAATCCATTTTTAAAAAGACTATTCCAATTAGCAAATTTAGTAAGTTTCATTACGGAAATTCCCAGAGGCAATCTCTGGCATTTGGTGATTAGAAAAGTAACAAGAAAGTATTACTTACAGAGTGAATCAATAGAAAAGTGAATTTCCCTAATATAAAATAATCCTCATGTGAAGCAAAAAGACATAGAGTTAATTAGAGGAGGTGTGTTGTATAAATGTTTTCCGAATTGGACAGATAAGAACATATGGTGGGTGGAGAGCCTGGGTGGCTCATTTGGTAGAGCTGTTGGATTTCAGCTGAGGTCATGATCTCGAGGCTTGTGAGTTTGAGGCCCATATCGACCGTGTTGCTGTACGTGGGACCCTGATTCTGATCCTCTGTCCCCCGCCCTGCCTCTCCCGATTGTGCTCTCTCTCTCTCTCAAAAATAAAACATAAAAAAAAGAAAATATGGTGTGATAATCCTCATGAAGAAAATAGAAAATACAGCAAGACTTTCTTCATGTCTCTTAAAATTCACTTATGAGCCATAGTAAGATACAGAAATCACTTTAAAAAATTTAGTAGGACCATTTCCCTTTTTTGTTCTTTGTGGCCATTTATACTGTGCTAATATTGTTCTGTATACTTAAAATTTGCTGAGTAGACCTTATGTGTTCTCATCATACACACACATAGTTAACTATGTGAGATGATAAATATGTTAATTAACTTGACTGTGGAAATCATTCCATAATCTATACATATAGCAAATCATCGTGTTGTGTATCTTAAATACATACAATTTTATTTATCAATTGTATCTCAATGAAGCCAGAAAAAAATGGTCAAGTCATTGAACGGAAGTACTAGAGTAGATTTCATGGAGGACACAAAATGGCTTCAATGAATTGCCTGAGATGCCAGGTGTCCAGAGCAGTTTTCAGGGCGAGTCCTGTAACTTTTCCCCAACGTTTTCCTCATGCTGGTGCTCTAATGAAAAAGGCCCTTAGAGGCAGTGTAACCATAAGCTGGAGCAGAAGGGAATTAAAGCACAAGTGATATTAAGAATTACACAAAGTTCACTGAAGTGATTTGTATACCATCATCGCAGTGTCTCCTCCTGCATCTCTTGATGTTTTTCTCCTATGTCGATAGCATCCATGGCGATTCTCTCTGTTGCTCACTGGACACATGGCCGCCATGCTAAGGGGGGTTCAGTGGTGAACAGCGCAAGGACAAATACATATAGTGTTGTTCTCTCAACAAAACTCCCATACTTGGGGGTTGTGCAACGCTTAAAGCAGCTCAGGTAGAAAAGAAAAAGTTCAAACCAGTCACCAGATCCAAAATTAGCATTTTATTCAGAACGCTGGGGTCAGAGGTGTGTCATTTATATTCTGGTACACAGTACAGAGGCAAAGCTGCTGTCATAAGTCTCTCCAGTTTAAAAGCTTGGTTTTTTTTTTTTCATTTTTTTTTTAAAAACACACACTTAGTAGTGCCTCCAGTGTCAGGCCACCCCTTTCTTTTCTTTTCTTTCCTTTTTTTTTTTTTTGGTACAAATTATGTAAAACATTTGTGCTAAGAACTTTTCTCCCTCCCCAAACAAAAAGGAAAATAAAAAATAAAAAAAAATTAAAAAATTAAAAATTGAGTATTCTAACTACAGCTCAACAATTGAATCAAATGTCACTTTGTTTTGTAAATACTTTATCCATAACGAAAGATATAAACATGCAAAAAACCTGAATCCATAGTCCAAATAATACATACACATGTTCTGAAGTGTCTGCACTTCTCCATAGACTATGCCAATAAAACATTATGTACACATACCATTTTTACAGTGAAGTGGAAAAAATACAGTAAATAAAAAAAGTGTACATGGATTAAGACCAAAATGTATCTAACATTCTAGTTTATGAAAAAATTCAATTTTGCTACAAATTGGTGATATGAAAACTCCCTTTATTTGCAACCAGCTGGGTAAGTTTTAAGATTTTAGTGAAAAAAAAAAATCTAAAGTCTAAAACTAGAAGTAATGTACATTTTCCAATCTCATGGTCTCATCCCCCAAGATAATAAAATCGCTCCATGAGTTTTTGTTTTGTGTTTGTTTAATTCTGTGTTTTAATAAAAGCAAATGCAATGTAACAAAAGCGTATTGAAGCATATCATGGTTTAACTTACTGCTCCCACCACAAAATATTTTGTCTTTTACTTATCGTTTCAGAAATCAGTACCATTAAAGCCTTAAACATAAAACTAATTCCAATCTGAAAAAGGTACAAAAAGGCACATAAAATCCCAGTGCTTCTGTACTGTAAAATTCAAGTGTAACTGAGCTCAGTGTTTTTCCAAACAGTATTGGATCACTGATATTCCCTCTGAGCCCAAATTGGTTTGCAGCCTATGCCAAAGCCTCCAGCAAGCACTGTGCTAGTAGACTACAAAGTTAAAGCCTAGCTTCTGAATGCTTTTTGGGAATATCAGTTGAAATTGTTTGTACTTGTCCAAAAACCAAGTTCACCCTGAAGTTCAGTCATCACCGCCACCGTACATGTCAGCAAGTTTCTTGAAGCGTGGCCCCCAGTCGTTCAGGTAGTCATAGTCCTGCTCGCCACCACTACTTGAGGAATTGAGGGAGCTCAAGGACCCAGCGGTGGAACCGCTGCCTTCATAGTCAAAGACTAGGAGGGAGTCGTATGGCGGAGCTGTGGGATCATTGTCAGCAGCTTTAAGGCCCTACAATTTGGAAAGACAAAGAAAGAACGCAGAGAGGGGTTACAATGTGCGAGCTACAGGCAGATCCTAGGGGTCCACAGGATCAAACACTTGTTAGTAAGTTTCCACCTGCAGACCACAACACCTTCTACCTACAGGAATTGGGGTTGCCGCCATGCTGGAAGTTAGGCAAAAACTAGCACATCTTTCCTTTGCAGGAAAGACTCGTAGGACGTCTAGCTCAGTGAGGCCAAGATGGAAGGGGAGTTCATTGGAGGCTGTGTTTGGCAGGTAGCGGAAATGAATGACCGACTGCTGGGTGCTGAGAAGGAATGATCTCAGATGAAGTCTGGTAATGCAACTGTATAATACTGCATTGAGTAATTACTGCTGGAGTAAGTTATATGAAATAACACAGAGGCTATGACATCGTGTCATATGTGGACCCTAAGAGTGAGAGTCAAAGGATTCTGACAGTGAATAGGCTGAAGAGGTTATACAGTCAAGGTAAAGAGAGGGCTATACATGAGTCCCATGTGGTCCTTGCCCTCTATGAGCTTGTAATCTAGCATAACAGGCATTGCTATTGTGTGAAATAAATGATAAGTAATAAAACCATAAAGTCCAGGCAAAGATCCTTAGAACGCTTAATCCTTCCAATCCACATGTATTTTATACACATGTATATGTGGGATTTTTTAATTGGTATGTGTTCATCTATTTATTCTTCCAAGTTTATAGAGGAGGAAGAGAACAAAAGAGCATGAAAATTAAGGTAAGAATCAGTATGTATAGTGGTTAGTGGTTAACAAATCAGACCTCTTAGCCACTATACCCTGGGTTGACACCTCAGCGCTACCCGGTATTAGCTGTAGGATTTCAGCTAAGTTCTCCAGGCTTCACTTCCTCATCTGTAGGTGTAACAACAATAGTAAGATTATTATGGAGACTACTGGAATAAAGACACCCAAGGGCTCATCATAGTGTCTGATGCCTGTTGGCACTTAATGCATATTATCTAAAAAGAATCCATTTTTAAGTTTAGTGAAAAATGTCATGCTTTAGAACTTGAAATAAATAAAATAAAAATATAATAAAATAATAAAAATATTAAATAAATAAAAAATAATAATAAATATTATTTGAAAAAAATAATAAATATTATTATTTGAAAAAAATAATAAATATTATTATTTGAAAAATAATAATAAGTATTATTATTTGAAAAATAATAATAAGTATTATTATTTGAAAAATAATAATAAGTATTATTATTTGAAAAATAATAATAAAAATAAAATTAAAAATAAATGTGAAGACATAATATTTTAAGAAATAAAATGGCAGCTGCTTGACTTCCATCAACAACAAGAGAGAAACTGGGGTGGCTGGGTCGCTCAGTTGGCTAGGTCATGATCTCACAGCTTGAGAGTTTGAGTTCTGCGTCGGGCTCTGTGCCGACAGCTCAGAGCCTGGAGCCTGCTTTGGATTCTGTGTATCCCTCTCTCTCTGCCCCTCCCCACTCACACTCTGTCTCTGTCTCTCAAAAAATAAATAAACATTAAAAACATAAAAAAACAAGAGAGAAAAGTACATACTACCAGCTTTCCCATTCCAAGTCTCTTTTACCACCCATTGTAACCATTTAAATTAAACACTACTTTCCCCCATGTCTGGTTATACTACATATAACCCAGAAAAGCCAGTGTAAAATAAAATAAAGCACATCTTCAGCAAACTACTTCAGTGTATAAAACAGAAGTAATTTTAGAAAGGATTTTATTTATCATATTTATAGAATAAGCTACGAGGCAATTTTGCTAAGACTGAAAATACAAACTGCAATTTCTCAAATGCAGAAATTCCTTTCTGTGGTAGACCGTGTTACTGTCCTCAATGATTCACTATCCTGTCTTTGTAGGTGGATCACATGCCCCCACTACCACAAGTGCCTCTCCGGAGTCAGAGTTCACTTCCCAAACCCACTGTGAGGCTTGGCTATGAGCTGGATTTGGCCTGTACAACGTAAGTAGCAGTACAGAGAAGACACCTCAAGACCTCTCTGTTTAATGTGTTTTTATCACTTCCTTCCTGCCCCCTCTCCCAGGAGAATGGTCGGCCCCAGCTGGGAGTTTTCCTCCTGCCTGGATCCTGAAACACAGAAGAGATGAAGACCCAGCCATTGCTGGCCCACAGTTAACCCAGAATTTGGGCAAGAAGTAAACCTTAGCTATTTAAGCTGATGATACTTTGGAGTTGTTAATTTCTGCAGCCTTCGTTGGTAAAAGCCGAACAATGCACCTTTGCTCATTTTGTTCATATTTATGTATTTAATTCAAGATGTATTTATTGAGTATGTGTATTAAACATATTCTGCTTTGTGGTGGGGACACAGCTATTTATAAGCTAGATCCAACACCTGTCCTCATGGAGTTTATATTCAAATATTAGCATGCATCCTTTTTCCTTTTCCCTACAAAATCTAGCAACAGCAAATTTAAGCAAGAGGTGATTCTTTCAGTTCAGCACAGTCTAAGTTGGGTTCATATAAGAACTGGACCCAAGAAAGATCTGGGGGGAAATCAAGAAAACAAAGAAAATCCTGATAGAAGAATAGGTTTCTGAAGACAAATGTAGGTCTCCCACGCTATCCGAAAGTAAGAACGTTCCAATGAAACCTTTTGAAACCTGGAATGATGGAAAGCAAAGAGGCAATTAACATTCATTTATATGGGGAATTTTTTGAACATTCCCAGATTCCAAAAATAATGCCTCCTAGTCTTTTCTGATACCTCAGGACACATGTCGCTAAAGGATGCACAAAGTAAATGGAGATGAAGCAGAGATGTTCACAGACACAGTTCAAAGCTATGCGGCTGGATGCTGAGATGCTGAGTGTAGTTCTGGGGAAGGAGCCTGGTGGCCTGCTCTCTCTGCCTGGGGGGCACACTGTCTCTATAACGGCTACCCAACAACAGAGGCTATACACTACTTTTTGCTTTTCACCTTTTTTCATAAAAGCAAAACCCCTCTTTGGCTTTCTTTCGGTTAGTGAAAACAAGTACTACTGTAGGTCTTCGACAGAAGTGGCAGAACATGAACTTTTGAAAAGCAGGGCATACCTGTATTAGGTTTTCATTATGACCTTGAGTAAAACTGCTTTATAAGACAGAGAACAGAGACAATGACCATGTTCAGGTCATCTGCTTTATCACAATTAATTTAAATCGAAATACATGCGGAGCCCTGCCCAATCTTTATGGTGTCAGCTCCAAACTGGAAATATGAAAAGGTTAAGACTAAAATTAGTTCTAAAGAGTCAATGGCAAGGTGTCAAGTGTGTCTGGATTCAGTGGAGAGGAAAGCAATGGCCTGTATTTACTAAGACTTATGGACAAACATGGGAAGTTGTCTGGTCTTCACCAGTGTGTAAAAAGGACCTGAGACCCTTCACTGAATGCCTAAGCCACCTAATTCAGCTCCTTAAAATAAGTATAAAACTGCTGATAATCTAGTCATTTACTCACTACTGAGATTCTAAAATATATTCATTTCTTCTAAATTGTTTTTAGCTCTTGCTTTGGATTTTAGATCATTCTGAATCTGTTTCCTCTCCTCCCTCCCTCCCTCCTTCCTTCCTTTCAGTGTTAAGGCCATGCAATCCATTGCAAATCATTGTGCTATGCCAGAACATCGCACACTGTCTCAGGTTTTGATAATCGCAAAAGGGCAAAAAAACCACTCAACTTTTCAGGAATTCTTAGGCAAGCCATCTTTCTAGTCTGAAGGTTAAGTATCCTAAGTCCCTCCCACTCAGATAGCACTGATTTTTATCTGAGAATAAAAACTCTTGTGGATGAGGTATTATATAAATTCTGGGTACTATTTTGGTAATTCTAAAAAGATCACAGTCAAGTTCTGAGAGACTGAAAATGACAGACATGCAACCAGAGTGAATGAATGGAAGAAATCCGGTGGGCCACGTACCCATTGGACCCTCCCTTATGGGATTCCTTTATTCTTAGGTATAGACACCGTTTCACATGATGTGTAATGTACTGTTGTCAAATCTACAAATGGACTGCATGTGTTTCTCTTTCTCCACCTCCGTTTGACTAAATCTGGAAGAGTATGTGCCTTTTTTGCCTTTCCTGGAGAGGCAGATCTTGAACTCTGGATAAATCTGAACTATCTTCTATAGTTTGAGGTGTCTCTGTAAAATGAAAAAGCCTGTGGCTCTGGCTGAAGTCTTGCTGAGCCTATATTTATAGGCCTCTGATCCTATGCTTTATGGATGGAGATATGCTTTTACAGGAGCTATAAAAAATCCACATTCTTCAGTGAGGGAACACATAAGGGATGTAAGAGGAAAGAGGGCCATTGATTCCCCTACATCCCATCTTCTGTTCTCTCAGTGCCCCTGCCTCAGTTCAGGTCCTCTTTATATGCTGCCTGGACCATAGCAAAAGCCTCTCTAACTGGCCTCCCAGTCCCCAGTACTATTCCTACTTCTTTTCTACAAACTACACCTGGTTCCTCTTTCGGACAGCACTTGAAGTCGCTACTGATTGCTCTCTCTTACCTATTGCAGTGTTTCCCAAATTAGGGAGGCGTTCCCAGGGGTGGGTGGTGGGTGGGGGTAGGTATGCAAGACGATTTTTAATTGGTGCATGAGTACTTTAAAACGATTACCTTTATGAAACAAAAAAATTAAAAGTTAATTAGAAGTTTAAGTAAATTATAGAAGAGGTGTGTGGACCTGGAAAAACTACAAGACATTATTACTCAAATGCCTGATGTTTGGGTAACGTACAGGATAGAGTTAAACCTCTTTAGCAGAACAGTCAGTAAACCTGGACTGTTCATGTACTTTTTATGTCTCAGCTATTCCCAGATCCAGCAACCACAACTAAATTATTCACCAAAAGCCCCCCTAAACTTAAAAACGTCATGTTTTTGTATACCGCTATGTTACATGCATATTCATTTCCTGCTGGCTGAAATGTGATTTCCATGGGCTG